CTTAAGCCCTAGGCCCTGAACCCTAAACCCAAAGCCCTAAACCGCCTAAACCCTAAACCCTAAACCCTAAACCCTAATCCTAAACCCTAAACGCTAAACCCTAAACCTCAAGCTCAGGTGGGTTCGCAACCAGGCCATCCGACATCCACAGATGCGCGTTCGTGTAGCAACTGCTTAAAAGGGGGTGTTGACAGGGTTTAGGGTTTAGGGTTTAGGATTTAGGGTTTAGGGTTTAGGGTTTAGGATTTAGGGTTTAGGCAGCAATATCACGGCTGGCGATGTTGATGACGAGATCCTGTTGATGATGATGATGGGTGGTCATCATCGTCATCGTCATCATCATCACCACCCTCATCATCACGAGCGTCATCGCCACCGTTTCATCATCAGCAGCATCATCAGCAACATAATCGTCACGATCGTCATGTTCATGGACAACAATGACGACGTCATCTTGACTGTCAGCAGCCTATACAGCATATTCGTCGCTATTCGGCTGGCTCTGCACCCAAACCTTAAACACTAAACCCTAAACCCTAAAAGCGATAGTGGCTCGGGGGCTTGGGGAACGGTGCTCGCAACAAGTAACTTCCTCTTCCCTTCACCCACTTTTCACGGGATTGTCAAGCCACAACAGAACAAAAGGCTACTGCTTGGGGACCGCGTATACGAACTCCCTGGACTCTCATCGAACCTACTAGGAACTTAAGACGTCGGACAGGGAAAAAGGCCAGCACAAGTCCAACCCCTGTGACGTGGGTGCGCAAAAACTGCCTTTTTGTCGAGCCCGGAGGCAGATAATATCATACCCTAAGCCCTGAACCCTGAACCCTGAACCCTAAACCCTAAACCCTAAACCCTGAACCCTAAAGCCTAAAGCCTAAAGCCAAGGGCCTAGCAGAACGGTCCCTGAACCTAAGGTTGAGTGCATGGGCCCCTAGTATGGGCCCTGAACCCTGGGGCCCACATATACCTACTATATACCCTATATGAACCCGTAAGGGCCCCTGGAAAGGCCTAAGGGTCCGCATTAGGGGCCCTACTTCGAACCGAAATCCCCTAAACCCTGAACCCTAAACCCCTAAACCCTAAACCCTAAACCCCCAAACCCCTAAACCCTAAAACCCTAAAGCCCTAAACCCTACTTCGAACCTTGGGTTGAACCGCAGGTGCAGCTGGTTTCCTACGACGGCAGCGCGCCGTCGCTTCGGCCTGGGCCCCTCTGCGTCAGCACAGGCGACGAGGTTAAATGCAAGCTGGCTTTGGTTTAGGGTTTAGGATTTAGGGTTCAAGTTTAAGGTTTAATTAGAGGTTTAGGGGTTTAGGGTTTAGGGGTTTAGGGTTTAGGGTTTAGGGGTTCAGGGGTTTAGGGTTTAGGGTTTAGGGTTTGGGGTTTGGGGTTTCTTTAACAAGAGTAGCTGCAATATCTCTATCTTTGAGGTTTCGCGCTCCTGTCATTGCTGATTCGTTGATAGTAAGATCATAGCTAGGCCGGTCTTGATTTAAGTCTTCAATGTTGCTTCGACAAATATCACTACTGTTGCTGTCACCACTGCTATTCTATCTGCCCGCACACTTGTTGTCCATACCTGTAAAAAAACCAAGCACGAGTTCTGAACCTCTGAACCTCCCTTCAACCTAAACCCCCCAAACATGTACATATGTATAATGTATACATCTTTATACATATTGGATATAGCTCTAAACCTTAAAGAACTCAAAAGCAACAAACCGAAAGGCCCTGGAAGAGGTGAGGTTCAGGGTTTAGGGCTAAGGGCACTTTGGGTTTAGGATGCTTCGGGTTTAGGGCTTAGGGCTTAGGGTAAACTTTTGCCTAAAACCCTCAACTCAAACTGAAAACCTCTGGGGAGAAGGTTGAGAGTATAAACCAAAATCCGGGGGTACGGCAAGAACGCTGAATCACAAAACCGAAGCCCTGGACCAGAAACCCCTAAGGCCCAAAGCCCTACCTTAAGAACCCAAAACCCACTTTTTTGTAGGTTCTTATTATAAACCCTAATATGGGATTTATAGGGACCCTACAAAAAAGTAGGTTTGGGGTTCTTAAGGTACAGTAGAAGCCAATAAGGTAAAGCATAGGGACTCCCAGCACTCAGCATCCTAAATCCAGTGGGTAGTTCTCTAAATTAGGATCCCCTTTTGGGGGCCCTTTTTATATATATTATATTTTGGGGACCTAGAAGGGGGCCCTAATTTAGAAAACTACTTATGCTCTAACTTTCTGGGATTCACCATAAACTTAGGGACCCAAAAAGCACATAAGCATAAGCTTTTTATAGGGATATCCCTACCTTATTAGGCTTCATTACAAGGGGATTTATATGGGATATCCGGATCCTAATTTTTGCTTATGTGCTTTTTTGGGGCCCTATAAACCCGCAAAGAGCAGGTGACCTGCCGACTGCTCCCGGCTGGCTGCTGCTCTGGCTGAAGGGCAAATGCTCCGCAGCTGTCGAAGCTCGGAGCAAGTTTTGGAAGGTCTCTTTAAGGGCTTCTTTAAAGTATACTACAGTAGGTTTAGGGTTTAGGGTTTCGGGTTTAGGGTTTAGGGTTTGGGGTTTAGGGGTTTAGGGGTTTAGGGTTTAGGGTTTAGGGTGTTTCCTTAAGGGCTTCTATAAAGTATACTACAAGTGTGCGTAGAGGGGGGTTCAGGAATTAGTCGAAGCTGGGAGCAACCTTCGAATTCTGACGTTCCTTTCGGTGTTCTGTCACGTTTCGGGGGTTCTCAAGCTTTGAAGTGTGGGTTGGAGTTTAAGGATAAACCCTGAACCCTAAGGCGTTTAGGGTTTGAGTTGTTTTTCACACTGGAGCTGCTCTAGATGGCTTCTTGCTCTGTGAAGGCCTGATCGGATCGTACATGATCACCTTGAGCTCTAAGCCCCTGAACCCTGAACCCCTAAATCCCTAAACCCTAAAAATTAAACTCTAAACACCAAGCCGTTGCAGTTCCTTTTTGAGGTTATCCTCAGCATATGGTTCGGATCCTGTCAGTCTTTAGGGTGTCGAGTTTAGGCTCTCAGCCGCAACATCCGACTCAGTTGAGTTGACCCAACGCCCGAGTTTAAGCATCCATTTAGGGTTCAGGGTTTAGGGTTTAGGGGTTTAGGGTTTAGGGATTGTTGAGATCTGACATCATATTCTTAACGTACAATCCCTACATACTTGATGCTATAGTTTACCCCCGACCCGTCCTGAAACCCGATGCCTTAAAGCCGAACCCTATAAAGCTCGAAAGAAAGAAGAGAGAGTCTCATAGAACCCCTAAAGGAGTGCTTACAGAGCTTGTATAGAACCCCCAAAACGAAGCCATCTTTTTTGTCAAAGCCCCCTAAACCCCGGGCCCGCACTTTTTTTTTCCCTACC